CACACTTTGTTTTTAGGGTTTTTAACTAGACATATCCACACTTTGATATCAAGGTTTCTCAACTAGATACATCCACACTTTGTTTTTAGGGTTTTTAACTAGACATATCCACACTTTGGTGTCAAGGTTTCTCAACTAGATACATCCACACTTTGTTTTTAGGGTTTTTAACTAGACATATCCACACTTTGGTGTCAAGGTTTCTCAACTAGATACATCCCAACTTTGGTTTCAAGGGGTTGCAATTAGATACATCCACACTTTGGTTTCAGAGTTTTCCAACTAGAAACATCACCACTTTGGTTTCAGGGATCCTCAGCTAGATACATCCTAACTTTGGTTTCAAGGGGTTGCAACTAGATACATCCCCATTTTGATTTATGGATTCCTTAAAAAGCAAGTTAAATGCATTTATAAATATTTCGTCTGATAACAATAAGCTACGCGTTACAAGCGTGGCTTGTTTTATTCATCTAATTGTAATTCAATAAAGAAATGATCGTATCACTTTCGATGAAAAAGCACGAATTGAGAAACACGCTCACGGGTAACAGACCAGTACGCCACCTGTAATAAAAGCCTTTTGAGATACAGTGAGCAATAATAGTTATCTATGAAATACATTATGGAACAAAATACGTTTAAGACAGGCTATGTGTAGAAAGAACAGAAGGAAATATATCCTTTCCAACGAATAGTTTACAAACAACGTAACATCGTTCGATTGTTTTTGTTTTATTTTTTAAAGGAGTACTGTACCATTTCAAAATATAACAAATCTTCAAACTACTGATTGTACTTCCACTAGTGCCCTCTGTTGGACAAAGTAAAGTTTGTAAAGAATAATTAATTAATAAGACATTCTGAGAACTAGTTATAGTGAAAGTAAAACGAACATAAATTCAGAATAATATCTTAGTAACTTTGTGCACATAATATTGTTATAAAACTTAGCTATACCAAATCAATTAGGAATCGTATTTAACACCTAATATTTTTATAAAAGTTAGGTATACCAAATCAATTAGGGAACGTATTTAACACCTAATATTTTTATAAAACTTAGGTATACCAAATCAATTAGGGAACGTATTTAATCAATAAGTATTTGTAGCAAATGCCTCAGGCAAAAATTAACTGATTTTTTTTTCAAATCAATGCAGTTAAGTTTCTAGTATTCAAGTAATTAAAATTATTATTTCTGACACACTATCCAGGTTTTGGGAATCACCTAGTAGTTAAATTTTATAATTTATTTAGATTATTTTGTATTGTTTTAGGCGGATCCCTTTCACAGACTTCAGACCTTTTCTACCCCCAAGCTTTTGTTTTATCTTTATGTTCACGTATACATAAGTAATGTGTGTGTGTTTCGATAACCCAAACACACTTTTAAAAATAGAAAACTACCACAACAATCTTATCTAACAACATCTAATACATATATCTAGTTTAGCATTTCAAACGCATGTGAGACACGGTAATACAATAGAATAAGCTACAAAACTAATCACTGATAAACAGCAAAAAAAAAAGTATTTATAATTAACAATATATATATATTTATATTTATGCAAGAATCATCAAATATCAACAGAATTAATTTAAAACTTGGTTACCAAGTGACACACATAACGATTAAAATACGGATAAGCGCCCTGGGGTGGGACAGTGGCAAGTTAACTGATTTACAACGCTAAAACCAGGGTTCGATTCTCCGCGGTGGACACAGTAGGTAGCCCAGTGTGTCTTTGGTCTAAAACAAACAAACAAACCATATTGGTAAAGTGTTTAGTTATAGGGTCGGAAATTTCAGAATCAAATTGCTCAGTTAAAATACGATAAAGTAAATACTGTCAAAAAAGAAACTTGTTATTTAATCATTAGTTTAGAATACACTAATCTTCAGCCCTAAGCTTCTAGGATGGGGGGGGGGCTATATAACCCCAAGTGATGTTTGGCTAAAATTCATTCTTATATCTTGTAATATTACTGATATTTTTTTTGTATTTTCAGATATAGTGGGAACTTTTGAATACTTTTTTAAACGAGTTATAATTTCTTATAAAAAATACTTTGTGTGTGTGTGTGTGACCCAACCGAAAATCGCCTCGAGTTAAAATTTAAATAACTTATATATATAATATTGACAAAGCATGATGACCCTCCAGGAAGGTTCGCGTGAACAAATGAGTGGTTATTAATTTATTTTTTCATTATACGTTATCACTGGGGCCTGTCTGCTTGAAACAGGACATCAGAAAACTCCAAGAATTACACACTCCCATCATCATTTAATGGAGCATGATGACACTCCAGGAAGGTTCGCGTGAACAAATGATTAGTTATTAATTTATTTTTTCATTATACGTTATCACTGGGACCTATCTGCTTGAAACAGGACATCAGAGAACTCCAAGAATTACACACTCCTATCATCATTTATTGGCTGACCAGAGCATGGAGTGACTTACAGTTGGTTTAGTAACGCTTGGTAAATATCTTGGAACAATATCTTTATGATTTAATTATTTGCTGCCATAGTTTTCCAACAGAGGCGCTGTTCAGTTAGTTACGTCATTTTTGGCCAAGTCCAAAGTTCATACTACAGAATAATGTAGTACAGTAACGAAATTAGCTGCGATATTCAAGCCTGTCCACACACACATATATTCTGCAGCTCACTACCACAGAAGAGGTTGGCACACAAGGTCAAAGTCTTGGTATGATTCTAGCTGGAAGGTAAGATATACACGTTAGTACGCTGTATTTTGAACGGAATACACCGGTGCAGTCGTACCGGATGACACATTATAACAAATCCACATTGAATACTGAATATTTTATTCTGTAACGTAGAACACTTGGCTAAGACAAACATGAAAAAATTGTGCTTTGATTATTATCATTATTTTCTTTTTTGGAAATCTGCAATCATCCTCATAGGTACCAATCTATATTTCCAAACTGTTGGACTGAAATCCTGCGAAGCTACTCTTGTCGAGACAAACTACATAGAATCATATATCTTCTTGTCGTAGAAGATAGGTTGTCCAATAAACCAGGTTGAAGAGAGCAAACATGAGAGGAAACAGGATTCTGGACATGACATCAATCCGTTTGGAGCGAGAAGGAAACTTGTTAAGCCAAGCTTTACAGGGGTTGATGCTTTTGGGAGGCTTCATGTGAACTTCACACCGATGAGCTTTATCAGAATTTATGTCCCCACAGCGATGAACCAGAGGCTTCTGAAAAAAATAAGTATATTTCAAATTTACACTACGGGTATATTTTAAAGATGTTGGAGTGTTTAACAGAAATATTTAGTTTTTGCTGGATACTGTATGTTATAAAAAATAACAATAATACCAAAACAATGAACAATAAATAGGTACCACACACACACACACACATATATATGCAGGAAACATTTTCATCAGCATATTTAAATACTCTTTAAAGATGTTGAGCTAGTTTTACTTTTATTGGACATATCTACTTACTGAATATACAATATATATTTTAGATTATTTACTCAAAGACATATAAACTGTGGATAATTTTAAGAAGAAATTGAAGAGTATTTGATGTGCTAATATGGAACACCACATGTGGAAAAATTATCAAATTCATCATCCAGGATCATAACGAGAGTTTAAGATCAGCGCAACCAGAATATATGAGTGTACTACAGTTCATGAGCTGTGAAATCACATCCATGGTGCCTTGAAGGTCAAACCTTGGATGTAAAATAATGGAAGACTGTCATGTTAATCCTTGTAATCACTGACTTGAATGTAAAATAATGGAAGACTATCATGTTAATCCTGTAACCACTGACTTGATGTAAAATAATGGAAACTATCATGTTAATCCCTGTAATCACTGACTTGTACATAAGATAATGGAGAATTATCATGTTAATCCCTGTAATCACTGACTTGGATGTAAAATAATGGAAGACTATCATGTTAATCCTGGTAATCACTGACTTGGATGTAAAATAAGGGAAATATATCATGTTAGTTCTTGTAATCCCTGACTGACTTGATTGGATGGGATTGAATTTGACAGTAACCTACAAGATGCTTGGAATATGACTTTGTTATCCCAATTGTGAGGAGTGAAAGGGTAATACCATAAAGTTATCC